GATCATAATGCAGAGGGGCTTAAATGCAAGTTGTTTCAAAGTTCCTTAACCTAATACAGTCAAAAGTCGTTAATTCGGACACCCATAATTCGGAATGATCTATAATCCGGACCTCAAAACTAAAAACCTTCTGCGCATGCGCCGCGTTGACACATGCGCATAGGTGTTTACGCGTGCGCGTAAGACCTTTTACGACTGCGCATATGAGTGTGCGCAAGTGCAGAATACGTTTTCGCGTGCGTTTTTATGTATAATGGACATATAAGCTAAAATATCTAATTATCTATTTCAGTTAATGTTGATGATTGCGTTGTTCCTTAATTTTCGAATTGGATCCGGCTTATTATTTTTTGCAGACTGTCTGAGCAATTTTATAAAAGTAAGCTTTGAACTTTTAATTATGTCAAATAGAATTTCTGATGCTGGATACTGCCACAGGATCTACAAAACGAAAGAATGTTTCAATGTCCAACAAACAAGAAATGGAATTGCTGCAAAAAATGGATAAAGACATATCCTTTGCTTCTCTAACGATTCCAAAATCTGTTTATCAATTTCACGCTGCTCTGCGGGGAAGGGGAACGTCGCGGCACCAATGAACTGGAAGTTGATCTGTCAGCACTATCCTTATTTCAGGGCAGATGCTTTTATTTTATTTGGCTTATAATTCCTTACCAAATTAGTATTTCATCTCGATGTGCTCCGTCTTTGATATGATTTAAAAACAATCCTCGTCCTTATATTCGCTTAAGCGAGAAAGTGACAGAGGTTAGTGAAAACGAAAAAATTTCGATTTGACAAATTAGTCGGTGTTCTCGACACAGCAATTATAGGACTTGAACAGCGGAACTTTGTAACTTAACAAGAAATGATCTGTTTAATAGAATTAAAGAGAAAGTATTATCACATGAAACGAAGCAAACTTAACAACTTACATTGAAAGAAATGTTTAATAAAGTAAACAAATAAATATTAAGCTTTTTTTTGCAAATTTTGATACCCTTTAGATCATAATTGTTCTTTATTTCATAAATTACGGTTTCATATTTTTAATTTTAGATTTTCTGCATGCCATCTTACGAGATTTAAACTGATAATCCATAATCCGGAAAAATCGATAATCCGGAATCGCCGAAGTCCCGACGAGTCCGGATTAACGACTTTTGACTGTATAGCTATGATTTCTTTCAAAAGTTTGGTACAGAGTTACTGTTTAAAAGCTGTAAGCACAGTTTTTTTTTTTTTTTTTACTTCCTTGTATGAAGTAAAAAGGAAGTATTGTAATCGCAAAAATGTTCAGGCATCATATTTCAACGAAATTATCCATTTTGACAGCTATCAAATGCAATTTACCGATGTATTTGCACGACATCTGTGTGTAAGGACAGAATAAAAGACTCTTTTCCACCTAAAAAATTATAAAACTGATTTAAAATCGATTCTGAAGAGAATTTTTCATGGCGTCTGTGCGTACATATGTATCTCGCATAACTCAAAAACGAGTAGCCTCAGAATGTTAAAATTTTGTATATAGGACTGCTATAACATGCGGATGTGCACCTTGTATTTTGGTTGCAATCAGCCACACAAAACATATATAACTATATGTATATATATCCACTCTGTTACCTGGCTCAGTGATCTCAGTTTCTTTACTCATATATGGTTGTAAGTTGTGCATTTTTTGCTTTAAAAATGATTGAATTATGTTGTTGCCTTTAGTAAATATGCATGCAATATTTTCAGAGTTATCAACAATTTAAAAGTTGTTTAAGTGTAGCTAAGCCTAATTAATTTTGTGATTGTGGATGTTTGTTTACATTTAAACAAAATAGTGGATTTGTTGCCAATCTAGAGAAACTAATGTCGCGAAACAACAAAGATAATGCCTTTTATTATTACGGATTAAATCATGTTTAATCCATTCTAGAATTTATTCGAGGAAATAAGTGTTTTAAGATTTATTTTGTAATTTTTAATATAGATATTTTGAGCTTTTATTTTTTGCCTTGTCAGGAAAGTGAGAACTGAATTAACTGAATGTGAAATACTGAATGTCTGTGAAAAACTGTTTTCTTTTTGTTGAATTTCTTTTATATATCATTTTAGATTTATTATAGTATTTGAGTAGAACATGTGGCAACGATTAGATAATTCTTCAAATGATATAAATTTATATGCATTCTGAGTTAGAATATGAACAAAATGTAACGCTGTTGAACCCAGTGCCAGAGTGTCACTATGGTAAACAAATATAGTGAATTTTAAAGAGTGCATTTATTCTATTGTGGTTTATGTGCTATTGACGAAGTATATTTAATTCAATTCAATATGTTTAAACGAAATGCAAGAAAAATTTGTATATTTAATATTCCGTGCAAGTATGTCGTGGTGTACACATGCTGAAAAATAATTATTCTTAATTTTTACCTTGGCTGTAAAAGGCATTTGATTTTGAAAGCGCACATGCTGTTTTGTCTCGTTTTTGACATTTTCTGACAGTCATTTTTAAAAAAATCTGTATTTTTACATATGTGTCAGTTTGTTTCCTAATAATTTCTTAAAATTTATTGGTTTAGTGTTAAATGTTGCATGTTAATAATTTGCATTACATTTAACAGGGTTCGTAGAGGTCCTCACAAGTGCTTATAAGTCCTTATATTTGAAAATAAAATATAAAAGCCCTTATAAGTGCTTATTTTTTTGCTTTTAGTGCCTTTTTTTTTTAACGAATGCACATTTTTCTCCGTACCAAAGCCAAAACTAAATAAACAACTTTTCTTCCTCATATGGAACATGAGGTGTATGTGTTCTATTGTCAAAGATTGCGAAAGCGGGAGAAAAATCCAATGCATCTGTATTCTTGTTCTCCCACCCAATATAATACAGTGAATTTATCAAGATTTTAATAATTTAATTGGGTCCTCATGGTCAGTTAATATTTTGTTTATTATGATAATTCTTTATAGTTATGACAATGTATGAATATTTATAATTATATATTTGCAGTAACTGCTGAAGTATAGATAAACTTCAAAAATGGGTAAGTGTGTTTTAACACAGATTTGTTTTCTGAGGAATAATATTTGCAATGACATAAAGTGAAAGTAATCGAATAGTCAAAATAACATTTTTTTTGGCCAGTGCGTTATGTACTACGAAAGTTTGTGGTTCTCCCCTTCTCCTCAAAATCTTGAATATTGAAACCGGACGAAGCAAAGGGGTGTTTTATTTTATTTAGTTATTTATTCTCCTTATACCGGTAGCTGTTAATTCCGATTGCAAAATATCACCATGCGGAAGAATTAAAGTGCACGTATTGCACAATAACGTGTGCAATATTCCGCAGAGATAAGAGTTTTACTATGCTTGCTAAGCACATTATTTTTCAGTTCCATTAGGCTATTTTTTATATGATGCACATATCCAAATGTCTAAAGCAAATTTTACCTGAAAAAAATCTAAAGAAAAGCTACAATCTACCCCCTTCTCCTTTTAGCAGTTATGCTCGACTATCCAGAATTTTCAGATATTCGGCAATTTTTGAATATACTGGTTAGTTAAGCTTTTACTGTTAGAGGATGACTGCATGAAGCAATTTCCCGTCTTCTGATTTCAGAAAAGTTCCCCTTTTTCTTATTTTTACTTAAATTACTTTGCTTGCAATATCTGTTAAGGAAAAACTGTTATACAATGAAAATTTAGAAAATGTTCAGAATTTTGATTAAAGTTAAATTATTTAAATATTAATACGAGTGGAAAAATAAATTGTATTTATTTTTAGGTGCCAACGGAATATAATAAATATGGCTTATTATTATTTATTTTTTTCTCTACTTCGAACTGAAATTTCATCAATTAAATCTTTGTAATATAATTTAGTTCTGTATAGTTTTTCCTTCTTTTTCGTCATTGTAAACGAGTTCTGTAAATTGAACTTGTTATTGAAAATTTTAAAAAAGAATGTAATTGTTTTCCATGTTTGAGTAATGCTCATTCTCTCTTAATAAATACTGAATTTCTCATATTTTAAATTAAAAGTCTAATTTTTCTGTTAAGGTTATGCAGTTGTGTATAATATAATTAGACAGGTGCTTATTTTTTCTTAAAATGTACTTGGAAAGTGCTTATAGGTGCTTGTTTTTTTAAGTAAAATGTGGCTATGAACCCTGTTTAAAAAAATGCTGTAACAAATTGCTCTATAATACAAGTATTATTTAAAATTTTATTTACATTCTCACTCATGATAAAGTGGTTCATTTTCAGGTTGTTGTTAGGCTTAATATTTAAAGTAATCCTCATTTTTAAGTAAAAATTGAAGGAAGTAGTCTTGAAATTAACAAAATTCACTTAAAATGCTTCCTTTACATTTTGGCATCTTAATTTGCTGTCTGTACTTCTTTTTATACACTTAACTATTGCTTTAATTTGTAATAGTAAAAATATTGGTGGTATGATTAGAATAATTAGATTAGATATTTTTTCGTAAGATTATTTGCTTGTTTCATTTTGGAAATGTAAATTATACATTGCAAAAGTATGTATTATAAAAATGTAAGTTCTATAAAAATATATATGAAAGCTTAATAATATTTTTCTTCTAAATTTGTTTAAAAATTTTTAGGAAAAAGTATTGAAAGAAAACAGCAAAACCTCCTTAAATGGTTCTAGAGGATTTAGGTCTTTGGTTGAGGTGATTGCACCTCAATCTTTTGGAATTGTCTTAAGGAAGGTGATGTTAACATATATCCTTATTTGTGTCCCATAAAATACTGGTCACTTTCAGAAATGGTCATAGTAAGAGGTTTCACTGTCAAAATGCAGTTTCTTCAATTTTTATCATTTGTTTGCATACTGAATTTGAGGGAAAAAATTATTTTATTAAGATTGCTTTTAAATTTCAGTTACTCTTTTTCTAGAGCATTATTATTCTTTTATTTTAAGTATTTTTTAGACTTTATTGTATTATAATTATGCATTTCCTTTTTTTAATTCCTCAGGTGATTCTTCTAAACTTTATGATTCCATTCACAAAGAAATTTTTAGTTTGCCAGAGGATTATTTACTTTATCCAGCTCATGATTATAAAGGTAAGTTTTCTTTCTTTTTTAAAATTTTTCAAGAATTATTGTTTTTCAATTTATACTTTTTGTTCTCTGAATAAAAATCATGGCTAAAGTAACTGGTCAACAGGAGTTGCTTATATCCTGTGTTGTAAAAGTGCATTGTTCATCTGCATAACAGTATTAATTCTTTAAAAAATCATTATCTCTGTATGCCTTTATAACATTCTGTAACAACTATTATTTTATATTATACATAGTCTGAAGGTTTCTGATGTTCTGTGTTATTTCAAGTACTGTATAAGTAAAATCAAAACGTCATTCAAAAACATGCTGTATCTGAGTGTTATGTGTATTTTAAAGCTATTTGTAATTAAAGCTGCTTGGTAGCTCTTATGTGTTTACCTGTATTTCTTTATAATATTCTGCAATATGTGTTAAGTATGAGTATACTGAAGGCTTCTGATTTTGTATGATATATTATTTGCAAAATCTGGAACTATTCCATGCTATTTCAGGTACTGCGTACTAAAACTCAGAACATATCATTAAAGAACATGCTCTACCTGGGTTTTATGTGTATTTTAATGATGTTTGTTAATTGAAGTTCTTGGGTAGATTTTAAGGGGGGAGGGAATTCTATTAATTTTGTTTTGACTCATCAATTCTTTATTCATCATTAAATGTTTTAGCCAGTTATTTTAATTTTGGTGACAAAGCAATCATAAGTTATAATACAATATGGCTTATTTGAATTCTTTTCCCCCCACATTCGGCAATACTTATTATAGTTCCCTCTCCACTCCATCTTGTTAGTTGCTGTGTTGCTGCTACAAATAATTCAGTTTATGCTGTAGTATTGAAATTAAGCTTAATGAATGCTTGTTGAGTAGTTTGAAAATGGTTTGTGTGAGTAGTTTAAAAATGGAACATTTTTATTTCTTGAATTTTCCCTCTTATCCCCTTCCCCCCCATAGAAAGTACAGTGCCTGCCAATTATTAAATTCACTGGTTAATAAACTCAACTACTTAGTTAAAATTTTCAGGAACCAAAAAGAGTGTATACTTGTCAGTAGAAAAACTGTCATTTATTAAACTCATCTCTGCCACTTATAAAACTCGAACTGGCGAAAGTATGTTTATTAAGATCCAAAATAAACTATTTGTGGTTGATAAAAGCTGTCTGTAGTTCATTCATTTAGCTTTCAGTTATTTAGTGCCCCAATAAAATGGGTTTAGCAGAAGTTTCGGCCAGTGAAATTAGAAAAAGGGGCCCCTAGGATGTTGGGTACACTTCCATAGGTCCTGTCAGCCATTGTTTGTAAATCTCTTTGTCCGAACAAAAGCTGAGAGTGGCAGAATACTTTTACCTTATGATTAACAAAAGCAGTCCTCTAAAGGCATTGGAAACAAGTTCTTTGGTTATAAATGAATGTTTCCCAAAATTAAAACATAGGTAATGCTTAAGTGAAAACTGGTTCCTTTGTCGAACACCAGCTGATAGGGAATAAACATTAAATTTGTAGGGCGTTCTCAGAAAACATGCGATGCTTTCTTGCATTATCATATATTATCAGTCTTTGATTGAAAAACAGGAGTGGTCATTGTAGGATGACAAAAGAAAAAAGAAAAGAAAGCATTGATTACACCTATAATAACCATGAAGTGACAGGTCAACTTGACAAAGATGCTATCTTCCTGCTGGCAAGAAATGGAAATTTTGGATTTAATAAATTACTGGAAGAAACATTTTTCATATGCTGTGTACGTGACTTGTAACATGTCAAAAATACCTAAGTGATATGATTTAAGCCTGAAAAAAGAGGATAAATTACTGAAACATTATGATATGTTTGGTAAATGCAGCCAAAAAGAAGCAGCTTTTAAAATGAGGATTTTGCAACCAGCATTGTGCAATTTACTTTAAAAAAAAATAAAATTGATAAAGAGCTAGTAAAAATGCAAATGTCTCAACGAAGCACAAAAAGCATTAAAAATCGAGAGACACTGAAACTGCTTTCTAAATTTTTTTCATTCTATAAGACTAAAAATTGTACCAGTTTCTAGAGTTCTTTTGACCACAAAAGCTGTGACATTGACTGAACTGTTAGCAGAAAATTCTGTGCCAACTGATGGATGGCTCACAAAATGGAAAGAGAAAAATAAAATTAATTATCAGAAACTAGTGGTGAGAAACAAGGTGCAGATAATCATTCGGCTGAGAAATAGATAAGACATTTTACCTGGGCTTCTAAAAGAATACAAGCCACATGAAATTTATAACACAGATGAAACTGGTCTGTGTTACAGAGCATTACCGGAGCACATGTTAATGTTTAAATGCGAAACAGCAGCTGCTTTTAAGAAATTAAATGAATGAGATACAACAATTAAAAAGACATCAATCGTTATTGAAAAGAATAAAAAGGTGTCAAGAATTTAACTTACTATAATAGCAAGACCTCATGGATGACTAGCAGTATTTTAACTTATTTCCTTTAGAAAAGGAACAAAGAAGTGAAAATTTAAAAAAAAAAAAAAAAAAAAAAAAAAACTTTTTTGTTAGATGACTGTGCTGCAACTTTTTTTGATATGATTCTAAAAAAACATTAAATTAATGTCTTCCTTCAAATATGACTTATGTCATTCAATCATTAGATCAAGCTATTATCAAAGCTTTCAAATGGAATTACAGAAAAGGTGTCATTCGAAAAAAGATAAACTGAATTGAAGCTTGTGAAAATGTAAGCACTTCGAAGGTGGTAACTAAGTTGATAGCCTTGCTACAGGTTATGCATATTATTATAGTCGGTGCACTGGAAGCAATCTCCCAAAACACGGTTAGAAAGTACTTTAGAAAATATAGTTTTTAATTAGAAGAAGCCACAGAGAAATTGCAAACTATTTCTAATATTTTGGACATCAGTGAGGGAAATTATGAAGATTCGTTTTTAGATGCAGTCAATGATAATATTGAGATAGCATGTGAAAACACTGCAGAAACTGAAACTGACAGTGAATTGATACGGAAGAAAATGACTCGTGCCAACATCAGCTGAATTGTAAAAGGCAACAAAGGATCCAAGAACTTTTGAAGAGATCAGAAAAGCTTTTACAACAGTTTACAAACTTGAAAATGCAGTTAAAAGACTGTTTATTAACACTGTGCAATAAACAGAGCAGTTTTTTGTAAAAGTTCAAAATTTCATCAGGTACGTAATTATAATTTTTTTTTTATAAAAAATTAATAAAAATTAAATTTCCAAGTTCTGTGGATAGTTTAATTTTAGCATATATTAACTTAATAATTTAGGTATTAATTATTAGATTAATTGTTAGATCTTCAATTGCATTACAGCCTATTGCAGGCCAAGTCCGTCTCAATAAGTTTCCTCCAATGGATCTAATTGGTCGCTATGGTCCACCAGTGATTAACTTTTAGTCTTGAGATGGGCTGCACACAGTCTATCCATCTTGTGCGAGAACATTCTCTTTTCTTGGTACCTTTTACACTTACAAAGGTCACCTTTAAAACAGGACGGTTATTCTACGCTACGAGAGTTGACAGCAAGTTGTGGGCCGCCAGATGTCGCTGCTAGTAAAAAACAGGTCTGCCCGACATCCTATATTCTCTGAGTATGGAAGTTGTTGAAAGCGCGTGAAAAAATGTTGCCGCGTCGTCAATCGGGGTTGTGCAGTTGACATACTAAGTAGACAATGAGATATTTGATTTTTTCATATTTAAACGAAGAATATGGTCGTAGATCTCTGAATCGGTGGCAAATTTATAGAAAATATATTGATGCTTTTGCTCTGCCAAAAGATGTTTTCATTGCATATTTCAGATTGCCAAAATTTATAGTTATTTTAATTTGGGATGAACTGAGAGAGTATTTGGAGCCACATTCAGAAAACAAGACCAATTTCTACTGAAAGAAAGGTTATACTATTCCTGAAATTATAGATATAAATTGTAATTGTACGCTTTAAAAATGTAGAAGATAATAAGTTTATCAACCACATAAACCTTCTTCATTTAATACAAATATAGACATCCGATAAGCTTCTACTCGATTTATGTACAGCAAGAATCACGTTTACTTTAAAATCTAACAGTTGAATACCTTACGAATAATACTGTGAACACAAAAATGTTGTTCATTATTACGCAAAATTCACACTACTGTAAAATAAAAATAAAAAATAATAATTATAATTATTATTATTATAAAGCTAAAAAATAGATTTATAATATTTTTTTCAGTACTGTACTACAACTAGTGTGATACTTTTAAAAATAAGTTTTAGCCTAGAGGGGCTATTAATTTAGTTTTGCCATTTTGTGGCGTTTCACTTTTCAAATCGTTGCCACCAAGTATTATCGCACTCTATATTATTTAAAGAAATTAAATGAGAAATCTGCAGAATGTATGAATGTTTCTCGCACTGTGATAAAACAACGGTACCTAGAGCCATGAAATTCTGAATAACGTTATCCTCCATCCTAATATCTGGAGGCCCAAATTTGGAACTGAGAATTTGTATTATTATCCATTTCATATATCATATTTTGTAAAGCATTTATGAGTTTTTGATTAAGAAACCCAACGATTTCAAAGCGAGCAATGGCAACATTGTACGGAAAAAACATTTTCATCTCTAGCGCGCAAGACTATTTATCGGAAATTCTAAAGATATGCTATTTTTAAATTATATGATATTGCTGTTGAATTGAATTTTATGGTTTAAGTGCGAAAAACATGATATTTAATAAATAAAGGTAACACGCAAAACTTTCAAAAAATAGCCCTTTGGGAGTAATATAAAATCTGAAGGCTTTCAGATTATTATTATTATTATTTTTTTTTTTTTTTTTTTTTGGTGTGCATGTGTGGTGTGTGTTGTAATTTTAATACGTTTTTTAAAACTGGTTTCTAGTGAGGACTTTCTAAGGAAACTGGCTCGTATACACGTTACACATGGGGAAAGCCACGAAAACGCCGGCCAGCTCGTTCGCGGGATTCGAATCTCGGACCAAACTACCTGCGTTCAGCGACTCTACCGCTCGGCGGCTGGTGGGCTTTTGTTAGCAGAATTATACTGTATTTATTGTATTATGCTATAAGACTGAGGGTTTGTTCATGGAATAGTACTTTTGTAACCTATTTAGTATTAAAAAATCATTGTTCTTGCACTTAAAATAAATAAATAATAAAAACTGTTCATAGCATTGTCATTTTATATGTAAAGAGATATTGATTATTATTGGTTTTCTATTTAAAATGTGTCGAACCGCTGTTTGATAAGGACTTAACTGCAGAAGACCTACACTGATTATTTTTACTTTAATACTTCCATTGTGAAAATTTACTATCTTTAATTATTTTCACAGAACAAAATCTTTTGAGAAGGAAGAATATTTAAACTGAGCAGTTCTAATACGTATACAAAATTAAAATAATAGCAATGTCTATTGAAAAAAAGGTATTAGTAATTGTGTGACAAAAATTGCAAAACGAATTAATTACACATACAGATAGATTATTTAATTTTGGTTATATATTTTATATTGAAAAAAATTTTCTTTCATGTTAATTATAGAATGAATTATTTAAAATAAAGCATTTTGATAGTGTGTGATAATTGAATGCAGCAGCAATCGAGCATACTTGATAGCGAATGAATTTTATTTCTTTTCCTGAAAGAAATAATTTTCATAGAAAAAGAAAATAAAAAAGGGAAGAAATATTAAGAAAGAAATATTTTCTTTATAATTTTTATTTAAAGAATATTTTTCGAATAGTAAACTGTAAAATAAATGCGAGAAAACAGTTTTAATGTAAACATGGGGGAAAAAAAATAGTTCGTATTAGATTGTATGCAAATTAATCATATTATAAATTTAAATAATTAAAATTGTTTATTTCTAAAAGGATTTGAAGTAGCTTAATTCATTTACTCTATCTATTTACCATGCTTTCGGGATCCCATATCACTCTTTATTTCTAGCTCTAAATTCCCGCATTAACTTTCCCATTTAAAAAAACGAGATTTTCTTCACATAAACAGCAGCAATCTACGCGTGTTGGTCATAATGCTGTTTTGTGCAATTTTTTTTCTAACTACAAATGCAGCGTGTGAGTTAGTGAAATAATGGGAGAATATTCCTAGAACTTCAGCCAGCACGCGCTATAAATTTCGTCACTCGTCTGTACTGCGATTGGTCTGAAGCTCCGTGAAGCCTTGTCCCCTTTCAGTAAAGTTAAATGGACCCACCCGCCCTCCAACTGAGGACCACAGAATGGCTTTCTCCGATAAGTTGTGATGGCTGTCCATACTGTTTTTTTTTTTTAGTCAATATTGTTTGCTCAAGTTGTACACAAATCCAGTGATCATAGAATAGGCGTCCAGGGTTGAAGTTGTCACATCTAAAAATGTGTCCAAGCCACTTGATACAATAAGATATGATGACTCGGACAATATTAGGTTGTTTGTGCCTTCTATATATTTCATGGTTAAACAAAATTCTCCATCTATTATTTTCTCAAACTGAGCCACCTTATCAGTTTTTATTAATGGTCAGCATTCACTACCATACAATATGATAGGTGTAATAAGAGTTGAATAAAGATTTTTTTTTGTCTTGAAGTTTAATAATTTAGACACTAACAAATTCAACCACGATAACATCTGTTTGCTCTAAAATAATCTGATGTCAATTTCAAGTTTAATATTATCATCAAAGATGATAGTACTGAGATATATAAATTGAGAAAGGCCTTCGAAAGTGTAAGAATTTATTTGTAGTGAAAGGGGATTATGCACTCTTCTAGTTACTGCCATAAATTTTGTTTTACACTCATTAATGGTTAATTCAATGTCTCTGTCTGCAGACTGTAGAGAAATAAGTCTTTACAACTACCTGTTTACTTCTGCCAATAATGTCATTGTCATCAACATATATTAGTAACTGCATAGATCTCTGAAATATGATGCCTCCAGTTATAATTCCAGCATCTCTAATAGCCTTTTCAAAAGCCATATTAAAAAAAATGCTAGGGCATTACCTTGTCTCAACCTCCTTTCAATGTAGAATAATACCTCTGATAGATCAGACATGATTTTGATTCTGCAGTTTACTGTCTTTAGTCATTCTAGATAGATCAATCAATTTTCTAGGAATTCCAAATTCCAGCCTAGCTTCAAACATCTTTTCACAGTATATGCTATCATAAGCAGCTTTGAAATCTATAAAAAGATGAATGCTATCAATATTACGTTCAATTGTTTTTTTCCCTCCAAAATTTGTCTAACAGAATGAGTTTGATGAATAGTAGTGATGATTTCCCAGGTTGGAATCCACACTGGTAGCTAGCTACCAGTAACTGTAGATTTATATGGTAGTAACCTATTGTATTACATATGGATGAAGATTTTAAATGATACATTTAAGAGGGTGATGCCTCGATAGTTGTTACATTCCAATATATATCCTTTTTAAAAAATGGGACATATGAAGACCTCTTCAATTCAGTGGGAATCTGCTCCATAGTCCAAACATTACATATAACCGTACAAAAAGCATCAATCAGTTCAGGTAGGTCAATATTAACAAGTTCTGCCTTAATACCATCTGGTCCTGCAGTGCTGTTGTTATTTAGATTCTCAATAGCTTTCCTCACTTTACATAAGGATGGTACATAAGGTTTCAGAGTTTGATCATTTTTAGCAGCATTCAGGTTGATATTTAGATCAGCCTCCTCACTTGGAAGATTACTTCAGAACTCTCTTCATCCTTTCAGCACTTCAACTTGATCACTTGTAAGGTCACCGTCACTTTTTCTATAAGTTATAGTCCTCTGGGCAAAGTGAAGCAAAAGGCAAAGCGAAATAGAGCACTGATTTTCTGGTAAAATTTTCTCAACACCTTTTGTGTTTTTAATTTTTCTATCTTACTAAACTGTTCCTTCAAATATGCTTTCTTTTACATTCGAAATAGTCTTTTTTCTTTTCTTCTGAACTCTTTATAACTTTCCTGTATTCCTCCATGTAGTGTTTTTGAATCATAAGCTTTTTTCCTCCTTCTCAGTAATTTTTGCACAATCACAATCTTACTCTCCGTGTCATTTATTCCCTTTCAGTTCTGGTATGACTTCCCTTGCAGTATTCTTAATTATTTTTTCAATCCGTTTCCAGGAGAAGTCACCATTCTCTAAATCCTTGCATTCCGGTAGCCTTTCGCTTAATTTATTTCTATAACTTTTCATCATCACAAGTTTGTGCAATGATTCAATGTCCAAACTTCCATCCCTTTGTTGCCCATTCCAAAAGATCTTACTTATCCTTCCTCTCAGTCTAGAAATCATGAGAAAGTAATCAGAGTCAGCTTTGGCTCCACCATAACTGCTGACATCCAAAAGGCATTTTCGGTGTCTTAGATCCACCAGGAAATGAACAATCTGATTTATTATTTTTCCATCTGGGGACGGCCATGTGACTTTATGTGTATTTCTATGTCTGAAGGAGGTACCTGCTATAACAAGTTCATTTGCATTTGCAAAATTACTAGTAAGTCTTAAACCATTATCACTACTTTCCTCATGTAAACTGTGATTACCCACAGAGTTCCCTACTAATCTCACGCCATTCTTTGCATTACAGTCAACAATAATTAGTTTTATATCATCTCGGTGGAATTTATCATAGGAGTCTTCAGGTTTTTCATAAAACTAATCATTAATAGTAGTGCATTTGTCCTCAGTATGTGCATGTATGCTGATAATACTAATATTTTGAGGACAAGCTCGAAGCCACACTGTACAAATCCTTTCATTTATAGGTTTAAAGTCTATAATTCTGTCTCTTATTTTCCTAGCAACTACAAATCTTATCCCAAAGCAGTACTGCTTATTCTGACAGCTATATAAGAAACTGCATCTTATTTTATTCAAAATTCCTTGGTCAAGCCATCTGATCTCTTTAATGGCCAAAATGTTTTATTTATAATTCTGGAAAATATCAACTAGATTTTTAAGTGCTCCACTTTTATAGTCTTTCCATGTTGTCCTAATGGTGTTCGTTGATGATTTAGCTCTTAAGATTTTTCAATTGGTATTTTTTTACAGGTTGGGGTAGTTAACACAACCCCCAACCTGGAAGACCAGTCCCTTGATATAATCCCCAGGGTGCCTAGTTATACCCCCAGACTCTGGGTACCCATTTTAGTCACCTCTTACGACATGCATGAGCTACATTGGGACTATTCTTTTACACCAGGTCACCACATGGGTGGACTGTTAGTTAATCTTACTAAATAAGTTCAAAGGTGATACCGTATTTACAGTATTGAAATCGCCATTTAATAAATTCAAATATACTTGGAATGGAAGTGATTTTAATTAGCAGCGAGTACTGCATAAGTATATTTCTCTTTTTAAATGAATTCTTTATTATTATTTGCCTTTTAAATATCTGAAAGTCTCATAGAAATGTTTAGTGTTTCTTTAAAAGATGAATTTTTCTCACCACTATCATCTCTGATATTGGGAAGTTTATTTATTTATTTATTTATTTACATCACTTAAATTTAGCAAAGTATTTCATTGAACAGATAATGATTTTGGTTCTACAGATGCCACTATATATTTATTTTTGAGTTGATATTTATTGGTATACGGAATATTACAGTATAATAATAATGTATTTTTATGTGTTACAGGAAATACTGTTACATCAGTTTGGGAGGAAAAGAGGTATAATGCACGTCTAACCAAAAGCAAGGAGGAGTTCATAGAAATAATGAAAAACTTAAACCTTGCACGTCCAAAAATGATTGGTATGTTTCTATATTAATATAAATTTTTTTCCCTAAGTTATCCGAGAATGAATGGTGAGATTTTATGAAGTCTTTGAGAAGTGTGTATTATGTGAAATAGATTGAGACTGCTTTTTTTTTTTTTTTTAATTCAGTCACCTAAAAAGCTTCTATTCATGTGTTTTTATTGTGTATATAAGATACCCACGGTGTTAATTGCTTACAAATTGAAATTGTTTGTAATCTTCAAAATCCTATTTCAACTTTATATGACGTCGTGTAAAAGATCGAGACTACTCACAATAAAATTCAACTGTCGAATTCAAGCAAACTACCTACACTTACCTACACTTTTAGAGATTTGACAATGAACTGATTTTCTTTAAAATATCCTCCTTTTGGCATAAGTCGTGTCATATATAAATGGTTGAGTAAATTGCCACAATTTTCAAATCAGGGCTTTGAAATTCTATTTATGACATTTAAATACATTCAAGAATCTCTGTAAGTCAGTTTTTTGTACGACCAAATGAGTAGCAGTATTTGTGATTCTTTTGTCTTTGCTGGCATTAATATCATAATCAGCATATACTTGGATATGATAGATTCTTTGTAGCATGTTCAAGTGTACAGTGACATTCCAGATCGAGCAAATTGAAATTGAAGATTTGAGTTGCAGATTTTTCAACAACATTGAGTGCTGTCCTACTTTGCTAAGCATGTTGACTCAGGTTCAGTCATCAGTTTCCAAAATGGCAGAGTGATAGAAATGGGCCTGTTCCATGAACCACGGCAAGTCCTGATCTCACAGATAAGGAAATCAACAGCTGTGACTTTTCCAAAAATGACATTTACAGCAAGAAAATGCATACTTTTGATTACCTCAATGACCAAATCCCAAGAGCAATTATAAGTCAATACACTAAATATTCTTTCTATATGTCCAAAACTGAATGTTACCATGATATTCATTGTGCTGTTAATGATGAACATATTAGAACTTCCTAATTTTGCTTGTGATCTTTTTTAGCCTGAATTAAATGAAAGGGTTTTATATCCATATAATACATACTTCATTTGGACCTCATAAATCACGCCATTCATTTTTTGAGAACCTATATTCTTCCAGTGTGAAAGAAATAACTTTCAAACTGGAAAAATATAGGAAATATATGGACTGGATATCACACTGGAATAATATAATAATAATAGCATGCATTTTCTGATGTATGCAAACTGTATTAAAAAAAAAGGTCATCTTCTTTTAATCATAAAGTGTTAAGAGGATTGTCTTGCTATCATTATAATATAGTTATAAACATTCTCCCATTAAAATGAATAATTTCCCTCCTCTTATTTGTTAGACAACTGCTGAGATTCTTAAAAGTTCCATTCTTATTTTATTTTATGACCTGCTGATAAAATTTAGTGTTCATTCCTTTAAAACTTTATACCAATTTTTAATATATTTCAATCCTCTTTGGCATGCTCTATCATACAATGATGAAATTAAGAGATATTTAAAATTTTGTATGAGTATGCAAAAGAGGAAAAATTAATACTTTCATTGTTGTCAATTCATTAATTTTTATTTTTAGTTTGATAAAATTATCCAGAAAAGCCCCCTAAAGGATTCTATATTAGGGCATATCATATACTATATGGCACTTGAAGCATCATTTATTAATTACATAATGCTACAAGTATTCATAAAAAATATCATTTGGCTGTATTAAAAAAGCTACAAGCAGTTTCGGAATATATTTGAAATACTTATAATTAATTTAAATGTGCAGTACAAAGTTCGAGATCTGGGACTTTAATTGATTCTTAATTTGAGAAATATCTGGATTTTAGATCACAAGTTTAAATCTAGTAAGATGACATGAAAACTGAAAATATTGGAACTTCACTTATTATTTAGGTCAGATATTAAAATACTAACACTCCCATAACCCCTCAGGGGCCAAATTGTGATCAGCTCTAACAGTGTATTGTCACTGGTCAATGTGAGATTCTCTAATCACCAAGTGTTTGAAAATGTCATGTGGGAATCTCATTTAATCGGGACAAAACTCACATTTACAGACACCACCTTCCTCTTTTGGGGTATTATATTCTCTGTAGACTCTGTAGGAGAGATTTCTTAATAATATTATTATCAAATGTTTTAGGGGGACTGGTGATCCAGATATTAGATCATTCCAGATATTGGTCATCTGGATTTCAGACTTTGTACTGTATAGTGTTATTATAATTAATTGTTATTATAATTAACAAAAACTTCTTCTGTTAATTACTGAATACTGCAAAATTGATAATACTGCAAATCTATTAAATAAGTAAAAAGGTTCAATGTAAAAATTCTCACAAGTAAGTAAATAATTAAAAAATTAAGAAATTTCTCCTGATTGCAGTTTTGTTGCAACTAATTCAAATTTTACTAAAACAATGCTTTTAGTTGTTGGAAGTAAAAGTTATGGTGCATGCCTCACATGGAAGTAGTGGTCACAAGAATATAGGTGATGCTAGAAATTGGTTTTCCCAAATGTTTCACAGGAATGGTGTGGAAGCTAAATTACTGATTCATTTCTTATGCATGGAAATTTTGAAAGTTTCTAAGAAGCTTAAATTGTGGGATGAGTCAGTATAAACAGTTTTGACTTCCAAAAAATAGAAAACCTTGATGTAGTTAGAAATCCCTTGTTATAGTATATAGTTAGATTTGGAGCTTACCCTTTCAATCAAATGCTATTGAAAACCTTTTCACTTCCTCTTTTGATATACAGTCAAAAGTCGTTAATTTGGACGCCCATAATCCGGAATGATCTATAATCCGGACCTCAAAGCTACAAACTTTCATGCGCGTAAGACCTTTACCACGGCGAATTTGCGTGTGCGCGTGCGCAAAATACGTTTACGAAAGCGCGTTTAATGTGTAACGGACGGTATATAAGCTAAGCTAAAATTATCTAATTTCAGTTAATGTTGCAGATTGCGTTGTTCCTTAATCTTCGAATTGGATCCTTATTATTTTTTGCAGACTGTTAGAGCAATTTTATAAAAGTAAGCTTGAACTTTCGATTATGTCAAATAGAATTTCCGATATATATTTACTAATATGTAAAGGATCTACAAAGCGAAAGTATGTTTCGAAGTCCATTAAACAAAAAGTGGAATTGCTGCTGCAAAAATGGATAAAGGCATATCCTTTGTTTATCTAAACTTTAACGTTTGTTTATCAAACTTTGTTTATCTTTAACGCTGTGGCGCGCGTGCAATGAATTGGAAGTTGATCTGTCAGCACTATCCTTATCTTCAGGGCAGATGTTTTTATTTTATTTGGCTTATAATTCCTTACTAAATGTAGTATTTCATCTCGATGTACTCCGTCTTTGATATGATTTAAATCAAATTCCTCGTCATTATAATTCGCTTCCGATAGTGAAGAAAGTGACAGAGGTTATTGAAAACGAAAAAATTTCGATTGACAAATTAGTCGGTATTCTCGACACAGCAATTATAGGACTTGAACAGCGGAACTTTGTAACTGAACAAGAAATTATGTCTGTTTATAGAATTAAAGAGAATGTATTATCACATAAAAAACGAAGCAACTTAAACAACTTACATTGAAAGAAATGTTTAATAAAGTAAACAAATAAATATTAAGCTTTTTTTTTTTTTTTTTGTAAATTTTGATACCCTTTAGATCATAATTGTTCTTTATTTCATAAATTACGGTTTCATATTTTTAATTTTATAATTTCTGCATGCCATCTTACCAGATTTAAACTGATGATCTATAATCCGGAAAAATCGATAATTCGGAATCGCCGAAGTCCCGACGAGTCCGGATTAACGACTTTTGACTGTACCAGATACATTCTTTTATCCTGACTTTTAAAAGTTTAGGGGTTGTTGCTGCATATGCTGAGTGAGATTCTCAAAGATTTTTATAAATGCTCCTTCAGTGAAGATGTAATATGTTTTACAAATAAGAACTTGATTTTATTGATAGCTGTAAAGGAAACCATACTGTTGTGAACTCCAGCTTTGACTTTCAGTGTTACATGAGACAATGTTGAAATCTTATAATGTGAAACAACTCTTGCTATATGATGCTGTTAGCGTTTATGTCAAATTGTTTATGGTTACATTGCTGTCCTAAGCTCAGAAGTTTGTTGGAATGATTGCATTCGTTACATATTCCTGCAGTAGTCAATATGTGAAAATCAAAACTTCACCTGCTTTTAAATGCTGTTATTAATCTCATGAATGATTTCTTAAATCATACAAATTTGATATTTCTTTGGGTAGAAACAGCATTAAAATCTTTTTATAAATAATTGCCACTTTGTATAGGCAGTTTAATTGTTCTTATCTAACTTTGTTATTTATAAGAGGAAATGTTGTGTAAGCAGTATGAAAGGCCTTCTGAATATTTGCTTTAAAACCTGAGAATGTACTGTTGTGAATTATGTTAATAATTTTGGTTATTTTTATGTAATTTGGTTTTTGTGTATTATCGTATTTTTTTACCTATTTATTTTGTATTGTAATTACTGTAATTTTATGCTTATTTATCATAATTTTATTTAATTATAAATGTGCTACCACTTGGTATTTATATGTTAGATCTTTTAATTCTATGCGACACTGGAATATAACTCGAGTAGAACCAAAATGTGGGTAGCAACCCTCTTACAGAGACTTGGCAATTTTTGATGATTCCTTGCCAACATGGTGACATTGTGAAAATTTCTGGAAATTCTTTCTCACAACCTTCCTTAGGTGCAATTTTTTCTACTAGCTTCCAGAAATTCTCATTCCCTTCCTCTCGAGTGGCTGTCACTCAGTCATTTTAATTGTCGGTTAAGAGTATTTCATTGTTTTACTTGAGAATATCTTGCTTGTTGATTACTGCTTTAGATTTTTTGCTCTGTGAGTATTATCTTATATTCTTTGCATATTCTATTCTTTTATAGAAAATTGAACTTAGTTTCTTTTTCCTCCTTAGGGTATTGGTAATTTTATACTGTATGGGATGTTAATTATTTCAATAAAATTTCAATTTCTTGTTTATCTGGCATAGCTGTTGAAGAAATCTGTTTGAACCCATTACATACATCAGTATATATCAGTGTTTCTCAATCTATTTTGCCCTGTGCATGCCTTTCACCATTGCTAGAAGACCATTCCCCCTTCTTTCCCAAACTCAAAAAATACGTATACATATTTATTTGTGTATTTTATAAATTAAGCTACTAAAAGTGTAGAAAATGTTGATAACTAATAATACTTGAATAAAACTAATTTTCTAGATAATCTAAAACTAAATACATAACATCTAAGTCAAAGGCTGCCCACATTCTCTTCCTGATACTATGAAATTCCCCCTAGTTAAGAACTACTGATATATATATATATATATATTCAAATTCAAACACCATACTATAAAAATTTTTTTGTTTTTTTTTTTTTTTTTTTTTTTTTTTTTTTTTTTTTTTTTATTCATTCCTCAAATTATGATTACCAAACTGATGGTTGCATCCAGAATTCTGCTACTTTAGTTTATTCTAATATTTTTTTTTTTTTTTATTTAGATAAAGCTGTGCCTGCCAATATGGTCTGTGGCTATATCCATGAAATCATTGGATGAAAAATTCCATTTTTACAACCTACATCTCTCCTTTCCAAATTCGGCTTAAAATTGCATATACTTGTATTAAATATTAAATCTTGGCCTATAGCATAGCTGCAACTCTCTCCATTTTTCTTCACATTTCTCGGTCTCTCTGTAGATCACTGAATCTTCTGATTTTTTAATTTTTAGCATTTGCTAAAGGAAACCTTTCTCTGCAATGAATGAACTATATTGAATTAATGGAACTTCAGTTGTAAAAATTTTATTCCCTCATTTTTTATGATTTTTAGTGTCATTTTTCTCCTTAAATTTCGTGTGATCTGAAATGTTTTAATCTTCTGTAGATATAAGTGTAGAAATTTTTATAAAGATTTAACCAATATTTGATCACTTGGTATTTGTATTTATTTTTTTCATCATCAATAAATAGTACCTTACAAAGTTTTTATACATAATATAGTGCAATAGTATGTGCATTAGTTATTAATTTCATTTTCTTAATATATAAATGTATTTTGATAAATAAAATCTTTCCTTCTGAATGTAGGACTTTTCAGTATAAAAGATAATAAAATTACAAAACAAAGTTAGCCAAAGAGCATAAAATTTAGAATATCTAATAAAATATTAATATATTTAACATCAGAATCACTTTTTAAATAATTCAGTAACACGAATCTCGCATTACAAAGTAAATTTAAGTCAGATTGAATTTCTTTTTAAATCGCATTGCCTCATAGTGTTAAAAATCTCTTGGAAACTCCTGGTTTTCATGTGAAAAGTTTCCTTTTTTCCCTAATTCAAATTGGCAGCTATGTTATAGTCATATTCAAGTGTCTAGTTGTGCAATATATTCCAGTGATACAAAGCAATTTTTGATAAACTGTTTAGTATTTTGAATAAAAATATTTATATGTTGTTATATTTGATAATTTCTATATATACTTAGCACAGTGCACAATTCAGTCAACATTCAGTTTGTTAGTAGTAGGAGTATTGACTACTTACTATATTTATTGGTTCAAAATCAAATGAATTTTAGAGAAAATCAAATAAGCTTTTAATAGATTTACGGATTAAGATTTAGTTAACGTAATTGGTTTTAAGTCAGTTAAGGGATGAATTTTATATATTTATGTCTGTGACATCTCTATAAAGTGATGAGTACACAGGGTGACAATTATTGAACTGTATGAAATAAAAAGTAAAATACTTAAAAACTACCGAGTGCACAAACTTTAGTCAACATGGTAAACGTCACTGCATATATTTGGTTGTATATATGCCTGTCATCTTTGGCAATGGCATGGCGCAGACGAATAACAAAATTCTGCATGACTCGCTGAAGTGTCGGAACCTCGATGCTGTCGATGACCTCCTGAATGGCAGTTTTCAGCTCAGAAATGGATTTTGGGTTATTTCTGTACACACTGTGTTCAATATAGCCCCACAAAAATGAGTCAAGTGTTCAGATTTGGAGATTATGGTGGCCAAGCAACTCCCACAGCCCAAGGCCACTAGAATGCAGTCCCCAAAGTGCTCCTTGAGGATATCAAACACTCTCTTGGTCTAATTGTGTTGAGTTTTGTCTTGCATGAACCATATCTTGTCAAAATCAGGAGCACTTGGATAATGGAGATGAAATCACTTTCCAAAACCTTCACGTATTGTTCAGTAGTCACCATGCCATCAACAAATATCGCACCTATTATTTCATGAGTGGACGTGGCACACCACACAGTCACCCATTGAGGGGGGAGAGACTTCTCGATCGCAAAATGCAGATTCTCATTCCCCCAGATGCACCAATTTTGTTTACTGATGAACCCATCCAAATGAAAGTGGGCTTCGGCACTAAACCAAAGCATATTGACATCAAATTTATGTTTGTTAATTCTCTTGACAATAGCGTTGGTGAAACACAACCACTATACTATGGCCATGAAGCTTAATGGCTGATGGCTTTGAATTTTGTATGGAAAGAGATGCAGGTCTTCAAGAATAATTAGTCGCAGGGTCTCCCAGTTGATTCCCACCTGTTGTGCAGCTTGTCTGGTCGATTTCCTTGGACTGGTTTGAAATGCAGCACGTCTCTTCTCGATGTTTTCAGGCATTTTCACTCTTGTTTGTCGACTGACATTGCCAACACTGTCATCACAAACATTACCAGTTTTCTCAAACTTGCGAATCAAATTCTTGATTGTTAGCATACTTGGACCGGTTTTCTTCAGCTTGTACTCAATCGCAAACTTCCTATGAGCTGTAGTCAGGCTGTTATTGCTCCCATAGGCCTTCACAAGCTCTATATGCTCAGGCATGTTGTACCATGATATGTTTGTTCACTTGAAGATGGCTGACAGTAACAAGTTGCATACGAATGCATATACTAGTTCCCATCATGCTGCAGCCAACCACGAAGTTGGTACTTCATCACGCGAACTATTCAGAAAATATGACAATTTTATGTCATATAGTTCCACCCTGTATATAGGGGGGAAATAAAATTTTATATATGCTATAAAACATCAAATTTTTGCTATTGTTTACTGTTCGCAGAAGCTATTTAAGTATGTGTTTCAAATATCATTAATGTCCTTGTGAGGAAGTCTTAAAAATCTCGCATTGCAAAAATTTTAGATTACAGTCTAACATTTTTAAAAAAGGAAGATATTTTAAAGCTATCAAAGGATTTTAAAAATGTAAAAAAATTGAAAGGCACGAAAAATTATACAAATATTTTGCTTTTCTTTATATGTAAAAATAACATATTATTTTCAAGTCATTAAATTAAATCTTCACTATTGAATCAAATTAAAAGTCAATCAAAATAGCTATCAATTAAAAAAATTTCATTTGGTTCTGCCTTTCTTTTTGGAACATAAAATAACATAAGTAGAAAATACAGTAGAAGTGGGTCAAATTTTGTTCATTATTTTTTTTTAATACTAGTGGGTCTTTAAGTCAGTGGCGCTACTTGAAAGGAGGTAAAAAGGGTACCAAGAATCTGGAAACGATGATAATTTGTTAACAGGAAAACTTGACAGTTGGCCCTTTCTTTTTTTTTGCTCTCACTTTTAAAATACTCTAAAAATGATTGCTTTTCCTTTTTGTTTTTACAACTTTTCCTTTTACAAGTGAAGAGCAAAAAATAAAGGTAGACGTCAAAAAATTTACAATTACATAAGGAATCCTTTACTAACATGGGCTTTAGTGTGGAATTGGGTGCCCCTTCGATTGGCAAATTTTTTTTTTTTTAATTTTGGCTATGAAACCTCACTTCTGGTTACCATGATAGTTTTAACTTTGTTTTAGCTTCCTGATTTTATTTAAATGAAAATAGATTGATGTGTACATGGACATATTTAAGGCAGTGCGCATTGCCTAGTTTGTGCAATTTTAGGATGTTTTTTTAAGTAAAAACAGATCGATGTGTACATGGACACAGATCTTATGCAATTCTTTGATTTCTTATTTTGGTTTTGTGTAGCGGCCATCTTGAAATTGTGACTTCCTGGCGCTGATCTTGGCATCAAAAAAGAATCGCCAATAAACAAGGGGCACCCAATTGTAAACTTTTACCCTAACATGGCATAAGACTGACTTTGGCATATAATACAGCTTGGATTCGCCTGGGTATCGAATCATAATATGTTTTATGTATAATCATGTTACACGTTTCTAACTTCGAAAAACATGTAAACATGCTTTTTTTAACAACATGTAAAGATTTTCATTCAATTCACATTACAAAGTTTTAAAACTGCTAATGTGATTAAAATGAAAATCGACGTCATTAAAAGTTTATCAGACAAGTAATAAGTATTAACTTTGCTAATACTGAAAACGTAGTCCTTGATTTAATGTCGGTATATTTAATTCATTTTTGGCTAAGGAATACCATAGTTTCTGATAAAGAAAAAGCCAGTCTAATGAAATATTCTCTAAAATTTGGGAGAAAAGTTTATTGGAATAATTTAGAAACAGTTTATACAAGAATAAGAAAATTTTGTAAAAATCGCATAAGTAGTTTTTAAAAAATTATCTCTCAAAATTTCAGCTCCTCGGTGTGAAATGAATTTCATACATATTTATTAATATCTGTTTTTTATTAAACTTACTTGATTCCTTCTTTCTGAATTTGAAATTTAGGCTTAATCCAAATATAATGCGCACGTTTTTTATGATTTATTTTTTTAATGTGTATTTTTTAATATTTTGTATAAATTTTTCGAGGGAAAAAATTGTATTATAACCTATAAAATTTTTAACATCACCTTAAAGTAAATATATTTCTAAGCATTTTTTATTCAAAATTTCCTAAGATATACGTGAATTTACATTTCAGCGCATTTTAAAATTTGGTGTATTTAATATAAGTGATAATAACGAAAACGTGGTTTACGCACTTTGTTAAATTATTTGAAAAAATGAACGATGGACCTTCTTTTTAGTAAGTAGGTTACTATAAAGTAAAAATTCTGCCAAGTGAATTATTCTTGACGCAAACTGAAAAAAATTTGCCAAGCTAAATTTTTAATTTTCTCTATAAATTTTTCACCAAAAATTACAAAATTTAATATTTTATTTATGGGCATAATTTGAGTCGTAGAATCGAAATATGGAAAGAAAATGATATGTTTTTTCAGAAAAAGGTCCTATTTTGTGTCAAAATACCTATGTTAGAATAATGCTACATATAAATCTAATGTATATCCTAAGTTGCGCTTTCGAGACATGAAAAACGCAATTTGAATTTCGTCGATAGGCCCAGTAGAACGGGAGACATAGAACTGCGCCCCTTTTTTTGTGTAGTGTACCTTCATTTCATATGTTTTTACTTAAGCATTTTTTCTGGTAGACATTATGTATGTACATTCTGCATAAACGAGTTTGCATACTCGATTAAAATGCACTATTTTGACTATAAAATTTTTCAGTATTTCTTGAGAAAAAGCTTAGTGCATAACACAGCACAGTATTCATAGTGAATAGATAAGTTCAGTCAGTATGTCTTAAGTAAAGGAAAACATTTTAGCATTAAAAGATATTTATGCGAATTCAGTTAAATTTTGGGTCTAAAATGCATGTATAGATGAGTAGCATTCTGGAAAACCGTATCCAAGTATGCAAGGATCTGTAATATCTGCCACATATGCCGTGTGATGGTAGGCGGCACTTCCAAACGCGACATTCACGTTTAACTTCCCAGCTATGTCGATTTCATCACCAGATAAAGTCTGGAGGGTAACATAGGATGGCGTTCAAATGAGTTTATCTTTAACTTGCTGAGCTAAATCTTTAAGAATGATGGTAACATTAGCTCTTGCGTCAATGATTACATTGCAAGGAACTCCATCGATATGCCCATTGGATACTCCATTACTGTTGCCACTCACTGCAGAAATCTTGAGCGCTTTAACTATCGTTCAGACTCCGCTCCGCGATATGATCATTAATTTTTTTCCTGCGTCGTTGCTGGGAAATGGTTTTATTTTCTGCAGTTCCTTCGTACCTGGCCTTCAGCTTCGCAGTTCCAACATTTTGATTCCTTGTCACTCCTTTTCCATCTCATGGCATTTAATTGTCTGTTTATACCGCCTGTCTCATTTTCCATGCTCTTGGATGTTCTACAGTTCCATCGTATGTGGCCTTCAACACCGTAGTTCCAACGCTTTAGGATTGGATTCTTTCCAGTACTATTCCTTCTCAAGGCACTGACTGGTCTTGTCAAATCCTCTATTTTATTTTCCGTGCCCTGGGGTATTCTGCAGGGCCGTCGTATGTGGCCTTCAGTACCACATGTCCAACACTTTGGAGTCAGTTTCTTCTCACTCCTACTCCATATCAAAGCATTGACTTGGCTGAATAAATCATCTAAACGAGCCATCAATTGATCCACTGGTTCGTGGACTCGCACAGCTC